ATTGTTGCTACAACAGCYCAAGTGGCATCAATAAATAGTTACTTTATTATAAAATGCAGGTGTCTAGTAATTTTATACAAATAAATAATGGACAAAATGGAAATAAACCAAATAAACAATACAAATGAATTAAAATGAAATTCTGTATTTTAGCCCCAAACTCTTCCTTCCTCAATCTTCATATGATTTTCCCAGCCTCCCTGGGCTCCAAAACTTGGCAATCATTTGGTCTCACTTTAGCCTCAATTTTTTTGTCCTATGTCYAAGTACTCTCCATATGTTGCTCTTTCTTATTAGCAAACCGTGTCCCAAATTTTCACGATGGACACTCCAGTCTAGAAGCTTGTGTCTGAATGCCTGCATCTTCATCTTCATCTTCTCCTCACTRGTTTTCTCAAAGTCCCCTCATTCCCAAAGCCTGGCCACTACATTGTATTTTTCATGTGCCAATTTCACTTCCAGCTCTGGAATATGCAATGGCTCCCTACTGCCTGCTGGATAATATCCACGTTCCTACCCTGTGTGCAAAGACCCTCATTTACTGGCCCTGGGTCACSTCTCAGTGAGGAAGCCATGCAGTCTGGCTTGGGTGATGCAGGATCTTGGTGTTAATACCAGCTCTGCCGCCATTTACCTCTTATAAGGCTTTGAGCAAGTTCCTCCTTTCCCCTGGACTTCAGTAAACTCACTTGAAAAATGGAAATAATAAAAACCTACCTTTCTCAGTTATTATGAGAATTCAATATGATGCCTAACGCAGCGGGTTGGCACAGGTCCTTTACATTTTCGTTCCTTTATTCTCCATCACATCACATGGGGATGCCCATCCCCCTTCCCTCTACCTCTCAAAACTCCTAATAAGTGTGGATGAAACAGGAACAGCTGTGTGGGACCTATTGGGAAGTCTTGGGCCTTTCTAGCAAATCCCAAATTGAACCTTTCCCTCTATCTGTTTTTAAGAACAGAATTGGAAATCCCTTTCTTAGAAAATTATTTGCTTTCAAAAGTAGCCCTTGTTTGTGGGGTCCCATTTCTCACAATTCCCAGGAGCAATGCACAGGCTGATGATTCCTGATTCTCGMGCACGAAATCGACCAATTTTAGCCAAGTGCCTATTAAATGTAAGATACTGAGCAAGGTGCTGAGGATGTATCCATAGTTGCCCTRCATAGATTATTATCAATTATGGAAAACAGCCAGGATGAGCGTGATTACAAAAATCACAGAGATGCTCAGGAAGCAGACAGAGAGAGACAGAATTCAGGTCAGAAGATTAGGTGAGTCCATGTAGAAGGAGCACTTTTTAAGCTAAAATTTAACTAATGAGGAGGAATCAGCTTGATGGAATTGGGCTGAAGAAAGATTTCAGGACATGGAGACCTGAGTTTTCTGAGCACAGAAAAAGCATGTGCGGAGTCTCAGTGGGAGCTGGTGCCCAGGAGAGAGGGATCCGAAGTCCTGTCTGGAAGCCTGGGGTCGTGGGAGGTGTGGGGAAGGAAGACAGGGACCCGCTGAAGAGAATCCCTTTGCTTCACAGGAAGTGAAGTTGCACTCTATCTTAAGGGCAAGGGGAGACCAGAGTATGGGTTTTAATTCCGGGATTTTAAGCAGCTGGGGTTTTCATGGCTGTTAAACATACATATGGCTTTTCGAGACTTGGCATGCAGTCTGTGTGCCGTATCACAATCTAAGCTCATAGAACATGAGGCAAAATATGCCAGGTGACCTTTCCCAGGGAAGTCTGGCTGGTGCAATTGGAAGCGGCACAGTGTGGGGAGAAGAAGGAACGCTCTGCCTTGGTCACTGGGTAACAATAACACCAAAACCCCTGGGAAGGGAGGGGGTAGTGTGGTCTCATCAGGCAATGTAGGGACCAAGGGGGACAAGCAAAGGGGTCCAGTGGGGTCAACCGTCACTTCACAGGAGAACTGGCCTAGATTTCACTTCTAGCCCTGTTCTTCCAGAACCCCACTGAAGGCAGGAACAGGTGCTCCTAATCATGTCCTCTGTCTGGTCCCCAGATGCAGCCAGGTTGGCAGGGCASGAGGATCACGGAKTAGGAATCAAGGGGCCTGAATGTGWTGCTGTTTTCTTCCACTGACTACTCATACGACTTAGGGCAATTTAAACAACTGCTCTGAGTCTCAATGTTCCCAACTTTCAAAAATGTGGACTAGTTACTGCCTGTGGGGTGTTTCTAACGACCAAATAAAAGCAAATATAAAGGTTCCTAGACTCTCYCTCTGCATGTAGCAGACATCCTGTTAAGAGGTGGCTCTTACTATGAGGCCAAGAAGCCACACMCCACAGGGCTGGCCCTCCCCCAAGAATGAAAATATGGAAAACAGGAGAAGAGCTCGCTCTCCATTTAKGTGTCTTAGGAGCAACTCTGCTGAACCTGAGTTCTTTAAGAGGCAGAAAGTAAATAAATGTCTTGGCTTGGAGGCATGTGCTCAACTCTTATTTCACAGCTGATATTCACAATATGACTGCTAATTAAGTATTCATTGAGGGTTTCCCACAACACATATATAATTAAGATGTCAGGGAATATGTGTGT